AGGGTGCTCCATTAGCCGCCCCGACCAACCACCCGAATCGAGATATAGACAACTATCGCCATGCAGAGGCAAAACGGTTAGAACGCAGAAACTGAATATACCCTGGCGTTATAGTTACGGTGATACGGGTATCGTTGGCGAAACAGGAGCGATCTAAAAAAAATAGACGACCAGTAAAACATCTGAACCCCGCAAATTTTGCGGATGGTCCCTGAGTCATCTATCAGACCACTGGAAGACCATAGAACCGTACAATCTGACCATCGGTACCGCCGTCGCCTACTTGTGTTTATCTATTCGTGCACCTCTTCGTATGTCGTACGATCATCCTTGAAAGCGGTTAACAAGCTGATGACAAATCATACGGCACATTCTTATATCTAAGCGTATGGATGTCAATGGACATCGACACAATACAGATATTGGTTGCTATAGCCTAATTTAACCTTATGGACCTTTCAGTCTTTCGGACTACTTTTCTCTACGGCGAAGCCATATTATTCACTGACTCAGTGAAACTGATTTATTATTGAGCCTTGCTATTGCCTTATCTATGGCCTGCATATTCAATATCGGTTGAGCCAATCATCCTATTCAACCACTCCTGATTTGTTTTTTTCACTCGTTCTTTTCGCTTGTAGCTGCTCGTACGTAGCCCTGCCGCCCTCGGACCTCCGACTCCTGGTGCAGTTGTACTAAGCTAACCCCAGTCGAAATGCTTCTGCAATCATAACTAATGATTCTTCTTTCAGTCCCATCTAGGTCTCCCTGGGTCCTTTTCCCTGTTCCCTGTAATGTCAAATAATCAGCGGTCATCGCATGCAGTTTTAAGCTATTCGTATCCATGAGATCCAATCAACGTGCTTAGCGTGAATGTGGTTTCAATCTGTCTCGTCTCCATTTGTTCGTACGCCGGCAGTCATGGTACTGATCAGATCACTATGAATAATGGCGGATAAACCAGTGTTAGTAAAAGACAGACTGTTTCAGAGAAGCGGGAATAAACGGTAGATAGAAGGCAAGCGAGTATGACCGGTCTAACCATCAAGTCGTATCTCTCTCTCTCTCTCTGCTTACATAACTAAGAGTCAATAGCGTACGCGTTTGTGTTTGTGTGTGGGAGAGCGTGTTGATGTCTAGTCGATGGTCGTCATCAATTGCGCGCCGAAATTAAATTGCTGTCTGACGCCTAGATGCTGCCGAAATGTAATTACACTTTTGGATACTTCACGTAAGTAAACGCGCGCTAAAAAACCTATGTGTCTAGATGGCCAATTCTCTGAAGTAGATCACGGGAATCGCTTGCTTCTTCTCACTGAACAATAGTTGACGACGGCGGTAAGCACATGTCAAATATCAAGCGGGCCATAAACGTGACAAATAGCCAAACCATAAGCGGACGACAACGGAAAAGCTTTAGGGGCCACATCAGGAAAAAGGTCAAATCTGACATCAGCAAAAAAATCACCAAAAAGTCGTAGTAGCGCTGAATAGTAAAATTTATAAACGAATATATAGATATGTATACGCATTTATTTACGAGGAGATCGTTGCGTACTGAAAAAAAACAAGAGGAGAGATAAGCAGATCGAGTGGAAGGGAACGATGTACTATAGGTAATCTGACATAATAAAGGCGCAGCCACATTGACTTTAGCTTCAGACATTTGTTTAGCCCTTCGATCGGCTTATATTGTGTGCTCACGGATTCTATTAGCGTCGTAAGCAGTGAATTTTGTTTTGTCATCTATTTTCACCATTCCGTCACCCTACGATTCGTTTGAGGGCAAAACCCCCTACTCGCGAATCAGAGAGGCATACGATCTTAGTATCCTGTAGTATAATACATTTAAGAGCATGCATAAACCATCACATTGTCCAGGCAAGTGGTGCGCATATAACGTTATCTATAGACAGCCATAAATTAACTGCAGCATTAACTCGAAAAATAATAAATGTACAGTTCACTGTCGATAAATATGCCCCCATTCGTAACTCTACCTGATACTTAAATAATCCCTGAGTTGAATTTCATCGATTCTCCTAGTTAATCTTCACTATCGCTACGCCTAGCGTACGTATTTGGCCGGCATGAATATCACCACACTTCAAACCCGCAACGTATTGGCCTACGGGCAATGCGTTTCAAGCAATGTATTGGTACCAAGAACCTTCAGATTTTCCCAACGCATTTCGCTTTTGTGCATAGCTCGTGAGGCATAGAAACAGCTAACTCATATCTGTGTACAGCAATAATAATGGAGAGATAAGCATATTTCCCAATGGAACATGTCACACATTCATGGCTATTCACAACGCTTCAAGTGTCGTTCATTACCCCGCTGAGTGGGCAATTTTACAACCTCATTTAAACGGACGATGATCTCATTGGCCTATTGTATCAGCGGTTCGTATTAGTAGTCCGCAACGAATCCGGCGTTAGAAGAACGTAGCAATGCCAGGGTTCGATCCGTATACAGTTTGCCCTATCTGCTGTGGGCAGCTAATTTTTTTTTTGAAAACGCATAAGCAATTTCAGTCACACGTTCCTTCTCACGTCACACTGCTATTCCTTATTCGTCTCGTTGCCAATTGAATCTTGATTTCCACAAATTGAACCTTCACGCATACGAAATAAGAGGTGTCCCCTTCGACACAATAGCACAGCGTAGATAAAATGTCTAGCCATATTATTAGCGTCGTTTTCTTTTTTGGGCAACCGATAAGTAAAACGCATTTTTGGCACATATTTATATCCAAAAAAGGCAAACAAGCTTATTTTATGGCCGTCGCTGTCTGGCTGAATAAAGCGAATATTTGTCAGAGCGCTGCTCTCTGCCAGACGTTGATTACAGACCTAATCATATTGCTGGCTTTATTCAACACGTGTCGATCTAATGTTGAAGATTGTCGCTTTAATTCATCTATTTATGAAGGGTTTTTTTCGCTTATTCCCATCTGAATCAGCGATACGGCAGTGATTCATGAGTAACTAATAAACAAAGCTTCGCTATTATGTTCAGGTTACTTTACCAACCGTTGCCTATTCTACTTTCGCCAATGGACCTTTTTATTTTATCCGTCGACCTCCCTAATTACACACAGGATTAACTGTGATACATGTATATTTGATATATTTGTTTGCATTACTATTCTTCTTCTGTCTCCAATCGTACTCACATCAGCCCGATTGATTTTTTCCTCTTTACCGTAGTCGGCGGAGAAAGCATTCTATATCTTTACATTGCCACGACGGATCTGACGTCACCGAAGTGTCATCGATGCGCAACATGTTTTATACATTGTACTGAGTAAAAGTGCCTGTGTACATGTGTACAAAAAACGACATGTGTACATGCTTTAATAACATCAAACGATACTAAATATTACATTCCAGATCTAGACGAGCGTTTAGTAAAAACGGCAATGAGCGTTACAAAAAACAATAAAAAAAAAATAAACAACGTTAATAATTGTTTCCAAGTAACTTATTTTCGTGTTACGTGGCACCAACAACGACAAGGTCGAGCTGGCAACAGGTTTTCATTATTTTGTCTTTGTTGACGCTCACCGTAAGAACGGCAGTGATACCATCCGTAATGGTGATGACGAAGTCGGTTCTGGTGATGAGGACGACGTCGCGAAGAAAAAATTTTGCGAAGAGGCTTGACAAGGGGACAAGCCAGTTGTCAGTTAAATATCGCAGAAGCAGAAGCAGCAGTAGTAGGTCAAACCGACGCAAAGCGCCCGATTACAATAACCGTCAACAATAAAATGCACACGGAGAAAGTACAGGAGAGTTAGTTGAAAAGGTCTGAGGGAAAGTTCTGAATTTTTCCCATTTAGAATTATTTTTGACCTGGCGTAACATACGCAACAAGTCTCCGTCTGACGTTGACACATAGTTCACGTTCAGTCATGATGAGAGCGCTGCTGCTGCCATTTCTACCGTGGTCACCGCCAGAACTGCCCGCATCGCATCTCTCCATGCAAACACATGGGGGCACATACTTACTTATTTGCTCCTATAAATGCACATATAGCATCTACAGATCCAGGAATAGGTAGCGACTCGAAAAGTTAATCGTCGACTCCTGATACCAGCACTGTAAAAGCGCTTCAGTTGGTCCGAGATAACAAAGACACGAAGAAAAAACACGAAGACAACAACGACGAAGAAAAAAAAATTTTTTATAACCTTCTGTCTTTTTTATCCCCTTCACCTCGCTCTTCCTCGAGATAGCCTGCTCGATGCCTGCCTACCTGTCTGCCTCTCTGTCGACCTGACTGCTAGCTACTTGACTCGGCTTCCCAATTGTCATTTTGCCTGAGCAAACGAGTTCCTTTTGTTCTGAACATGATAACATCGCCACCGCTTAAAAGCTGTTTGTCAGGGAGCACCTGGACAAAAGCGAGACCGCATCTGATTCTTCTCTGAAGTAGTGACATAAAACAGGACGATGCTTTCTATTTTCCTACTGAATGTAAAAGTCGGAGAGCTGATCGCCGAGAAATTGTCGGCGGCAGGAGAAACGTCGAGGTATTTTTTTAGTAGGTCAGAGGCAGCCAGTAAACTGCTTGGCTCGTGCTTCTCAAGTCAATTATAGTCGTGAATTACTGTAATTGTGACGGGTAGCTTCGTAAAATTCCTCAATAAGTGAAAGTTATATTTAACGATCTCGAACATCTGAAGCGTATTATGAAATTCTATGTTGTTTAAGCTGAGCTGTTACATCTGTGTTAAGCTGATGGTTGTCAGAGGATTATAGTAACTGCCATAAATCTAGCTGTCTGTGTGTGTTCGGAAATGGTCTTTTCTATTTCTGTTGCGACTGGACCGCCTTATAATGAGCTTTGATTTTTCAAATATGCAATTTTTAACCGGTTATGTTCTAGGTAAGACATGAAGTGAGCTAGCACTTCCTTAAACCTGCCAAATCAGCTTATCCTAGCTGACTATAAAACGTTAGAGTTTAACAACAGAAATCGAATCGGCCTTACCTTGAGAAACTGATGGATGGCTGCGGGTAATCCCCCTGGGATGATACTACCTCCTTCAGATGCTGGTACAGGATTTGTCTGTGGCTCAGACTGTTGCTGTACGGCCTGTTTAATTTGTTCGTGGCCCGTGCCGACCGGAACCTCAATTGTTTTTTGACCATTCTGTCCAATTAGCTGAACTTCCTCCGAAACATGTGCAAAACGGAACGGACCATGCTGGTAAGTTGGCATATTCTGTGGGATCTCAAGTTTGTTATTTGGAAGTTGCAGGACCGGCGGGCCTTGCTGTCCGCCTTGAGAAGGATCCCCCCGGAGAAGCCGGATTCCTTGCGAGCCTTGGAGTTTTTCTTGGTTGAAATGTTGTGGCTGCGACGTGTCAGTCTGCACGGCACCAGCACTTAGCCCGGGGATATTTACCGGCTTTCCCGAAGCAATAGAGCTGAACTGGTTCGCATCAATTTGGATGGCCTGCCACCCGGGCGGTAAACGTAGACCGCTTAGATTCGGGCTTGGTTCGGGCCCTCCAGAAGGCCCTAGCGGAAGTGGTCCCTGAGGCCTTCGGTGGATTTGTGCACTGGCGAATAAGTTGTCCAGGCGTATATTAGTACCAGGGAAAACACGAGGTCCGCGTGGTCCCCCAGGCACGCCACCTGCAATCAGTTTAGAAACGCATAAGTACGGTGTTAATAATCAGTTAAAAGATTATTAACTTTATTTTCTTACTCTATTGTAAGCACTATTGAAGAGAAGATCAGTGCCGAGCGCCATTTCGGATTCTTTCTTATGTTCTGCTACGTAAAAAGCTCGTTTTATCCTATATATATATATATATATATTTCGATACAGTGTTAGAGAAACGGGAGCGCCCCTTCCTAAATAACCTGAGCATATGAGTGTTTGTTTGCGGTACTTATATTCGCATGTCAGAACCTAGTAAATAATTGCGGCTCCTATGGGTGTGAGTATACTCGTTGACTTACACGATTCATTGAACGTCTGGGCGCGCTATTCTTCATGTTACTAATTAACGCTAGACTTTCAGCTTAACCAGCCATATAACCGGTAAACTAAAATATACAAGGTAAAATGTGCAAAACCTAATCTCTTTCGCATTATCGAAAAGCGGCTTTTAGTAGCTTGCTGGCCGCTAATTAGCTAAATAAAGCTCTTCACTTATAAGATAACACAGTCCTTCAGTAGGTGGTCTTCGCCTCAAAAGAATAAAACCGGTACTACTAGAATACTTTTGATCAAGACGCGAGTGAAACTTCGTAGTTAGTAACATTGGACTTAAACACCATATTTCCTCTACCATAATAGTAAACATAGACAATTCTATCTATTCCACAAGTATACCTGACAGGCCGTAATTACTGCGCATCCAATGGGAATCTAGTCAAAATTATTGATTAAAATAAGGTTATATCAGAACAAAAAGGCCCAGTAGTGTATCGCGTATTAAAAGAGTGTTTATAACCACGTGCTAAACAATAGTTTGCCCCATGGTCTTGTTTATTTAGCACCAATGGAATGTGTAGCACTTGATTCACGAGCGTCCTTGACCATCGTTTGTGAGAACGACTGTTGCTGTTATTGCTGCTGTCGCAGGCCCAATTGTGTCTACAAGGGCCTCAGCAATGGCCCCACAGGACCATAGTCGTAGTAACGGCCACTATCGCGATAATGTGATAACGTCTGCAACAACATTCTTTCAGTTTTCTATTATTTCAACAGCGGTTACCACAGCCATCGCCACATGCTCATGCCACTGCCGCTGCTGTTGATAATCTGTGATGGTTCAACCCTGCGCTTTTGCAGTTGAATCTGTCGCTAGAGATTTCACAGTTTAAAATGAACCGAAGGGGGCGCCGCTTCGATCGGTCCGTTGTGCGGAGAGGCAAGACAGCTCCTAATTGAAAAATATAACACCCCCGTCCTGAACGACTCTTCCACATACCAAGACACATTTGCGTGAAGTGACTACAGACAGTGAATGAGTAAATAGAGAAACACAATTTTTCGCCGCAGTTACGGCAATGAACGAGAATAACCGCCTCATCATATACCCACAGTCCACTTAGCTATAACGTTAGCCATTAAACGACATCTAGAACGGTCGTCATCTTCGTCACAAAACAGCAGCGCTACCAGCAATAACAAAACCAAAACAATTGTAGGGTAGGACAGGACGAATGGTGACATTGTTTTGTCCAGGCCCTCGATATGATGCAAAGTTGACCTGTGTTTATAAGCCTGCGTGGCTTTGTACTCATCCATTTATCTCTATTTCATGAATGAACGTTGTCCAACATTATTGTCTATGTGTGAACTGACATTGAATCAAAGTGAAGACGTCTAGTCGTTTTATTGTGGGTTTCAGAAGACGTTCTGCTTTCGACACTTACCATTCGTATAGTGTGGTCAACCAATCGCTTCTGATACCCATTTTGCCTCTGTCGTTCGTGTTACTTTAGATGTTTTTGTTGTTGCCTCTGTTATGCATTAATTTACCGATGTTTATACAAGTATACACACAACATGCTGGTATACAAAGGCGGAACGTAAGAGAAGACCCGAGCCGAAGGCGACGACGATAGCTAAGGGTTTTTGTTAAATCTGTAAATGACACCCAAAGGACGTAACATTGTATCATGTCGTATGATGTCATTGTCTCAGCAAATTTTAAGAAATGATAGAAGCGCCAACAAGTTTTCTAAAAGTGGCAACGTTTTCATTTTCTGATTCATGGACTTTCTCTTTAGTTCACCTATCGTTGGGCGAATAGTATACGTATAGTCAATGGCAGCGCGAATGTTGACTCCGCAGACCGTACCTTGAAACTTATCGAAATAGTAAGATTTCAAGACAGACCAGTGATAAGGAATCGAAAATTCTAGCTTTGACTCATGTTTCCATTGGCTTCTATAATCATCATGATCGGAAACATTGCTTGCTTATAGGAGCATCATAGTAAATTGGAAGATACTTTTTAAGAGGCTCGCGACTTCATAACCCTGCCTTGACGTTGTCCTCCAGCATCGACCACTAAATTTGCAGAAATCCAAATATTTAAACCTAGCTGATTTTAGCATGTTAGTACTACTCCGCAAAGCATCGTGACTAGCACGCAGTTAAGGAAATAATTAAGTCTTAATAGGTTAGGTCTGTTTTGACAAGCTGATATCCTAAATACTTAAGGATATGCATCTTCCATTTGTAAATTCCAAAGCCAGCATATTATTGTGCCAATGCATATCTTTAAATATTGCAGTTAGGTATAAAAAAAAACAGACAGACAGAAGATACATATATCAATTTTTGTGTTATTAAAGAAAAGCTTCAATGTAAGACAAACTGTGTGTGTACAGGGTATCCTCGGAGGGGCATAGACGAGACACGCTTGGCTTTTGCATATCCCTCTGCGTATGTACGTGTCTTTAAGGCGTTGGGTGTTAAATATATACAGCTAATACTGGTAAGCCAGATACAGGCCTGAACGGGATCTAATAAAGTCACTTGTCTGGATCCAAGCATACTGTTTTCCTTCTGTGTTCCCCTACGGTAAAAACATATAAAATACGCAGATTATTTGCGCTTATTCCCTCGTATCAAATCGTAAACTGATTGGACAACAAAGCCATAGGTTACCCCACCGTATACTCGAAAAGTAAAAACATTGCACGCGAGTATAATAAATAACAAAAAAGCATCAACGCCTGCTCGAAATACGCTAACTGAACGTTAGTCCTGCAACTATATCCACAATCTTAGCAAGTGCTGAACACATCATCATTCTATAAAAATATATATATGTTTGTTCTCCTGTTTGTTTGTTGTGTCCTGATAGATGCCGTCGTGACATAAATTCAATCGATCTCTGAAAATGCAATTAATAGTGGTCAAGTAAACAAGCGTTACGCTTTAATGCGTTGTTTACTGATTCGAAAAGTTTCTGGATCAAAATAGCCGTTTGTTTTCTCGGTTAGGCGGAGGGTGGGCGGCGGCTGCGGGTGAAGTCAGCGGCCAGTTAGTCTTAAATACAAACAAGTACAACGGTCAATTTGCGTCAATAGAATGATTTGTCGCCCTATATGCTTAACACGCGAGCGCCAGGTGGCACAAGGTGGACGGCGCCGTTAAAAGATTTGAAATTAGGAACCGGTAAATATCACTTCTGTTGTTGGTGCTGGAGCTATGGTTATCGTCGCAATCTGGAAAGAAAATTTCAGTGAAGGCCTCATCGGGGCAGACGTTCGATCCGCCTGAACAAATGGGCGGAAGTTAAGAGAAAAAAAGGTCTGATTGCCACCGCTTCCGAAACCTCACCAAGCCAAGCGCGTTGACCGTACACTGTGGCCATATCGATTTGATGGTCCCCTGCTGTCTGAGGTAAAAAAATGACCACTGTTCATTGAAGTAACTTTCTGTAAAATTGCGCTAAAGCTGTTACGGTTAGGCCGCATCAACTTTTAATCATCTTAAGTAGTAATAGATGCCGAAGTTTACGACACAGTATATATATATATATAGAACATCTATAGAAACGTTTTTGATGATGATAGGCATTTTATTTTTTCGCACCAAACGGCCGTCTCCGCTGAGGCTGTCAGACAAAATAAACGTAAATAAATGTTATATTGATGTTATGATGATTTTTCCCGTATCCGGACGAAAAACAATTAATGCATATATATCCCAATCGCGAACGCCAACTAAGTATACAAATGCCGTTTTCGTTGTCGGAACCCACAGATGAAATCTGTGTTTATTTGCAGTGACTAATGATGAGATAGCGATCAAACGTTGTTAAAAAAATCCAGCATTGTCTCCGAAGTTATATACAAGTCAAATTGACATTTGGGTATATGTGTCCATCTAAGTCTACAATACATTTCCATTCAAAATGCGCCCAGTTACCCCATCTTATTCAGTGTGTAATGGGTTGAATAACACAAGTAAAGGGTAATAAAGTGGTCTTTGTTGAAAGTTGCTACAGCTAGCTCTGTCACCCTTCTTCCCCGCTCCCCGTTTCCCTGGCTCTCGGCGGGTTTCTTGCCTAATAAGGTTCATTATATTTCTAGTGAGTGAAACAACAGATAACAGTGCTCTTAAAATGCCGATTATGAATCCGGTAACCGCATCGCTAATAGAAGTAGCGGTGTGCACAAAAATGAGCGCACAGGTCATCGTTGCCTCGTTCGTGCGACGTAGGCTACCGGCAGACGGATACTAACTACTGGCTTTGTATTGCTACTTTATTATATTCATGTAGTTATAGTTGTTTAGTTACTGGGCCTACCTCATCTCCCTTTCCTCCATTCATTTCGTTCAATACAATCTAAGCTCTTACTATCTATAGATGAGGCCGCGGTCAACGGGACCAAATACTTGCTTGCCGGTAAGCAAAATTAACAACATGGATGGACGTTCCAATTCGGTAATATTGTATTGCATAGTGCGACTCGACAAGTGGCGCAGCTTTCAGCCCTACTTTTGCGACAAAGGCGCTGTCGACTAGTATCAACGGCAACTGATACATACGCTTGACGAAGCCAGGTCCCTCCCGACACGCTCGAGCTATCGTCTACAAGTAACACTGTTCTGCACGAAATGCGAGCAAAAGCGAAAGAACGATTCTAATGATGACCATTATTGTGATGAAGGTACCTCCAGCAGATCTTAGACGCACCGATTCACGTTCACTTGGACGTCGAAGACAAGCGAAGTCTAAGCATTGGCTTCTACCTGTCTACACCTAGCTTTTCTAGGAGGATAAAGGGAGCGATGGGGAGGAGATTGGTCGACAGAACGAAACGCAGTGTGATAGGTAACGACTGGAGTGGTTGGTGGTAGAGAAATGCTGGAGGGCGAAGACAAGAGCATCACTAGCGCCGGTTGAACGCCAGTTCTTTTTAATATTGTCTCGACGAGGTGATAGGTCGGCGACAATCTATACGACCAAGCCCTTTAGTTGATACTCTGCAAGCTCCAGTTCTCGATAACAACAAGAACGAAATTTCGCTTTTCACGCTTCGCGCTTCACACGTAAAGCTCACGTTTATGTGTATACGTAGAGGTGAGCTCTACATGTGCAGGAACGTGCACACCCTACACGTAAAGTACACGGCAAAAACGTGTGTTTTGTTCACAGTGTCTCAGTGGGCCGGTGGTGATGGGTCATACGGAGGCACGGATGTATCCATTGAATGATGGTGAACGATGAAGAAAAATGACCCCCCGGACAAGATACAAACGGATGCTCGCTGTTGTTAACGGAATAAAGGGATGTGTATTGTTGTTATCGTGCCGTAAAAGGGTTATGTTAACAGACGCCTGGGCGGCTTGCGTGTGCTTATTGTATGTAAGCTCCGAACGACCAGTCACGAGCTACGAACGACTGGTGACTAAGCAATCGATAACAATCAAACAAGATGCACGTTTTATCGTGGAAAATGCTTCAAAACTACAGGTAGAAGCAAGAAGACGAATGCCTCTGCGTTTTTCGTACAAATTTTCGTTAACGGCCGCGATGACCCATGATATGGCTAGTGATTGATCCTAGGTATGCATATATTGTACCGAAGTGAGCTGACATCGCTCCTGCCAATTTGGCGATACAATTAACGATACAATAAATTTAGGTGGACAATAGGGAGGATGTGCTCAAAGCTAGTTGTAATAGGCCAGAGCCGTCGTTCTCTTCCCCCGAAGACAAGTACTTCTTGCCTTATACCGTCCTGGAACCCGATATGGAACATTCCGATTTGTCGCATTTTGACTGCCTACCAATGTTGTCATAATGTAATCTGTATTCCATTGTTTCCTCCTCTGGCGACACTGATCCTAAAAGTACAAGGGCACCGCTACTGATAGGAAGCTGCGAAGCATGAGGTACCTGAACGGAAAGACCTCTTTGTCAATTTCACTGCAAATAAAAATCGGCGTTAGGTTCGAGATCGGGTCTATTGTCATTAGTAACCTTTGATAGTATTTGTAAATTAAAGCTCCTGAAGCTTCAAGAAGAGAGGTAGCAAGAAACACGTATCGTTGCCCGTTACGCCCTTACAGAATTGATCAATGCGATACATATTATATTACGTAAGGCGACATGTTAGCAAGCGTGTTCCTTTCATTCGCATTATCGACATTTGCGCATCGCTATGCATAAACGAATATGTTCTATGCGCTCTGTTTACGCGCGTTAATGTTCGCTAACGTCTGCTGTTTTGTATTTGTTGTGTCTCTTCTCTATGTTGTCCATTAGCAAACGAAGTTGTTAAGCGCTATTATTTCGATCGTATGGTGGTTCTTACGCAAGGCGTTCATGACAAAGGCCACGAAAATAGCCTTAGAAAATTGTGACTTCAGTCGTAACGCTAGCGATAAACACAACAAAGGCTGAATGTCCTCGCTACCGTCACGACGATGTCGGCAGGAAAGCCGTAGCGTTAGCAGGCCACTGACGACTGATTAGGAAAATGGAACGTAATATAAGAACCGCAACACCTGGTCAGTTATTACTGCACTGATCAAAACTAACTAAATGTCATTCAGACGAATACTTCTGGGTTTAACATCCAAAGCTGGCACGTTTTCTCGAGACCCCAAGCAGATGCCCCGTGTCCGCATGACTCGTATAACATAGTAACGGAATAAACCTTTGCTGTTGTTATTGGCGGCGGCTACGACGTTCGTACCGCTGCACCTTTCAACTCTGCTTAACTGCCCTATTATTGCTGATGTTGTCCAATGTGACCGGTTGTTGTTACCTGTTATTGATTGATGTTAGCAGATTTACATACAAGCGAAAAAGTCAGCCAAATGCTGATAGCGCTTTTACAAAAAGAAAATGAAAACGAGCAAAGGCACGTACAAATGTTCCGACGACCAATGGAACAGCGAACGCGAATATGAAGGAAGCGAGCTACGGGTTCACGGCAGAAAAATGTCGACGTTTTGTCGGCACAGTGCCGTCCCACAGTGACAGTGCTTTAACGTAGGCGTACATTTTCGCTGATGCCACATACCCCACTACTACTGATACTTGAAAGGCAACGGGCATTAATCAGCTGGCCGCTAACGGACCAGGTCTCTACTCTCGTTGAACCGTGTCATTGCCGTTGGCACTACGTCTGCTGGGGCGAACGCAAATGATGATATCGACTTCAATAATAATAATAACAACAACAACAACAGTTGTACGTTGAACAGAGAAAATTGACTATTGCAGTAAAATGCCACTTACAAGTGTTAGCCAAAACGAATCAATTAGCGGAGGGGAGGGGAGGGGAGGGTAGTTCAGGAAAACAAAAGATGAAGGAGAAAGAGGAGGAGCTGGCTTGCTACTTGCTGCTTGATTTCTCACCACCAGGCTGATTGACTATCCAAAATACGGATATCTCCTCTATGGATCTATAACTGCATCTTGATTGTATCGGATAGTTAAAGTTGATTTCGAATGCCGCGTCAAGCCAAGACCTCAGAAAGTGGAGCCACTTTTGTCCTCTCACGTCAAGAAATATTATATCTGAAGCCAATAATTTTACTGTACTCGAAACGAGGGCATCGCTTCAAGGGTGGATAGCACAGTGGGTAGCCAGTTTACTTTCTAAATTTAGGGGCATATATAGTTGTCGAAGTTAACACACGAACGTAGATAGTGTTCGTCTTGCGCTGGGAGCTGGATGTTTGAAGCGGACTTACGCACCGGATGTAAAGCACAAATAACCATAGCTATAATTTATCTATCAAAACTTGATCTGTTTCGCCAAATGTCAGACGAACATAGGAAGCATAGGTACTTGAGACAAACAGTTGGTAATAGAGAGCGAGAAACCTTTTCGTTGTCATGATTGAATCGATCTTTGGAAATTCTTAATAGTTTTAGACAAATGCCACCTGCTTGAGCTATTGTCACGTATTTGTGTGAGTTTCAATAGCCATTGTAATGATAATGGTATGTGTTGACAGTAATCATCTGAATGAGGGTCACTACGTGTACAGCCTGGTTTGACTTGACGATCCGTCGTTTTCATATTGTTTTCTCAATTCCGGTAATTGAAAGTAAAGCAAAATAGCCCCGGGGGTAGGGTCATAGGTTCTACAGGCACATTTCTAGACAGTTTTGTAGTTGCTATTGTTATTATTGTCGTCGTTGTCGTCCGATAAGCGATGTTGTCCAGGCAGTGCTATATTGTCATGGTGTTGATGGACTTTTTTTTTGGCTTCCGGCTCTTCGTCTAAGTCCAGTCTTCAAAAGCGACTTCACGAGTTATGTTGCAACGTAGAAGGCCCTCTAAACCTGTTACGACTGTCATCCCGGCTGCTTCCACGATTATATAGCACGCTTTTGCGGAATATTTTGCGTCATTTTATTAACTAGTCAAAGGGTTTGTCAACCGGGCGGTGGGGTTTTGCGTCCTAGATAAAGCTGCCGCCCGTCAGTCCATCCAACTGTTTCATTGGGTGTTTCTCTACGGGTGACGTACATACACACCTCCAATGGGGGTAAAAAGCGTGGCCAAGGATCCCATCGAATAGGGGGTCATCAGGGTATCACCACCATGTTGTCGAGCAGGAGGTACAAGTCAACTTTTACGGTGTAGCTTCCATGCGCGTGTGTTTCTATAGACGAGATAGAAAAAAAGAACGCGCCCGCTTCTAAAAAAAAAAGCTAAAGGATCAACATATTAACGCACAATGTATAACATACGACAAAAAATCTCGACTTTGTCACTCTGAATTGCGCTACTTATTGATTTTGTATTGTTGGTAGCAATTAGTTTCGACGCTGATGCGGGTTAGATCGCGTCTAAGAACAGTAACAATCAAGCACTCATTAACAATGACAGATCCTGTTTTTCACAGTTTGTGATTATTCGTGCTGTTATTTTCCCGGCCGAGCCTAGTCAGCAATAACGTCTTGGTGAAACATAATTAAAAACGCGGGGATTGCGTAAATTTTCAACGAAATGCTTTTGGATTTTTTTGTTGTGTCTAGTTATTGCTTTCGATGTATGCTTTCTTTCTTTGCTTATCAGGACCCTCGTGTGGCTATGTAGAGCTATACGATACGAGTAATAAATAAAGAAGTTAATCGCGAACCACACGCTATAGTTCAACTTGTCTATAGATTCTTTCTGTTTGAACCCACTGTAATCACTGCCACTTTAAAACTTGAACGGCTAATTATAATGAAAAACATTGAAACTTCATAAAATGTTTACTATTCGATATCTTGTAAACAGTTCTTCGATTAAAAAGGTCATGAAACACCAGCAACGAAATTGTTGTAAGGATGAACGTTGAATTAATGAATGAACCTCTATGTTTAAACTGATCCGGAACTGGAAATATTTTTTCGCAGTTGGGTATGAGGTGACGCTATGCTCTTAACATACGCACCAATAAGATAGCTTTCCTACTTTTCAACTTTCTGATAAAGTTGTGGTTAGTTAAGCAGGCGCTGTAATTCTTTTCTAATGGAAATTATACAATATCTAACTATTGTCGTAACAAAAGAAGAACAATAGATACCAGCGGCTACTCTAGCTTACACGTCATTGGAAAAATCCACTTCTTGACCAAAATGGGGCTTAAGAAACTTACTAAGAAGGTGAACTTGTTGGAAACGAGGTGGAGGGCCGTCGTGGTGGCCACGAGAGCGACCACCATCGATATTTTGGAATATTGGTCTCCTATTTGATGGGCCGGTGGCCAGTCCAAGCCTTGAAAGTTCATTAAGTGAAACAGATCTGAGTTCCCACCCCTGAGTACCGCCTTGCTGAAGCTCTGGTATGGCCATTACGGGGGCCATCAGAGCTAGAAATAGCCCCGACGCACGAAACTGAAAAGAATAAAACGGAAAAGCAAAGATGAGACATTACAACCGTACTTGCTGGTGTATTATTGAATATATTTTGAAAGACTTTTTACATCTCTCTTTTTGCTATGGACCAAGTGTTTTACGAAACACCTTATAACAATGAAGTAGTAAATGTGCGTTTTTACCAGCAGCAGGTACAAGCATCAGAAGATGATATACCCAATAGTAAATGATTTTAATCTAGGCACGACCTTTATTTTAAAAATAATATAATCACTAGTGACGTTGAATAACTAAGGCTCCTGTGACTTTAAACTAAGTTATGATACTTGTGTTACGTATCGATAATATTTTAAGGCATGTATAGTACTTAAATTATTCAGGCAGATTAAATTCAAAATTATAGGAAAAGTTACTTGTTTAATAGGCCATAATGTTAATTTAAGTAACAACTCATCATAGGATAAAAAATATTAGCACTAAAAATGTTGTTCCCTTAACAATGTTATGTGAGGGAATCTACAAACGTCATACAAGGATTTCTCAAGTTAGGACGACGCCATCATCGGAAGAACAATCAACGATATGTGAACTTCTATTTTATAAGAAGACCTGAAACTTTTTTGAAAAACGTTGAGTTGAGTTAAATGAGATTTTTAAGAAAAAAAAAAAAAAGATTAAGAAAGCGCCCGATCAAATGTGAGATAATTTCTCTAGTTAACTATGATATATGCACACTAACAGTAGCCACAGTAAATCGCCATCTTACCGTAAAACCGCATTTGAACTTTACTGATCACGTGTTTAAACTAGAGATCGAAAGTTACTACGTAGCATACTAATCGCTGAAGAGATCACTGGAATTCACTTGTTTTATTGATAGCTATGAAAATATCAGTAAACGTGATTCAGACCCCCAAAGTGCTCAATCAATCAGTGAATCACACTATACGTTATCATATTCTCGCTAGCGGTTGTAAGCAACTTTCATTCAAGCAAGTACATTGCAACCGTTTTGTCGTCTGCTATCCCAAATCACAGACACCTCCTCTTTGCGAACTGCTAAACACATTGAAAAATACTAGAAGCCATTCTAGGGTTTGTTGTTTCATCAGAATGACCTGATTGACATCGCTTCAAACTCTGTTTACAGCGCCGTCTCCATTAGCCGCGTGGCAGTTACGAATCCTATTCCCTCCTATGGTAGTCAGCGTCTTTCTGGGGGAATGGAGGGTAAAGCAGTTTGATTGTGACCGCAAAGTGTCCGTCGCTGAGTTAGGAAAAGCTAGGCAAAATGTCACCGCGTAAATGCTGCAATAGTAAATTAGTCAGCGTAATCAATGTGGCTGGACCATCAGACAGCGCTCTTCGCCTATGCTTGTATATCAATCGAGTTCAATCAGTCTTTCTGCAGCTACAAAGGGCTCTACATGTTTGACCAGTTCCATAGCTGGTAGTAGTAATTCCGTCAGACTGAGGCACAAATCTACCTAAACTAATGGGCTGTTTACTATCTTTGTAACAAATACTGGGGCTTGTGTTCGATCGCTCAGGATTGTGAGTGTATGTCCCATAAACGGATTCGACATAAATTCGGAATGTATGACCCTAACAGCTCTAGCTTAAAGTGTTATAGCAGATTAGCCGTACTAGTCACATTACTATGCGGACTTCATCTACATTTCAGAGAAAACGATATGAAATATATTTCTCATCAACTTCTTTGTTGCATAGTCACAAGTCAGCTTAGGCATCAAAGGAAAATTAGTATACATATTATCCCGTAGCTATCCCAGGTTTGTACCAGTAACATCTTCAGTGACGCTGAATCAATCGCATTTTCAGCGTCGGCAAAAATGCAATCCGTTTTAGTCACAATAATTTTCAGCCCACAAATGGTCCTTTAAAGCAATGTAACGTAGAATAACTGTGCATATATATACATACACATACGTACAGATACATTGCGAAAAGATTAGATAGAGAAGTACCCCTAAAATAGGACCATTCACTTACTATGCGCATCTTTCTCAGTGTTCGATGGTCCAGCCGTATCCTGGTCGGCAGACTGATCGCACACGTCCTAGTAGAGTACAGGAAACGGGGATGAAATTGATCTGATTTCAGTGTATCCTTGTTGGTATGTCCTTGTCGTTGTTGAGCACAAGTGACTATCGCAGACTCCGCACCATTCCCCACAGGACGGTACGTCCTCTTACAAGTGCTGCGCCTGTTTCTCTTTTAATCGGTGTAGGGGTAACACACATAAACGATCAACTGTCTGTGCTTGAACAAGCAGTAGTGCTGCCAAGAAATGCAATAACGCTTGACAACAATTGGATTTTGCACGAGACGGAGAGATTTGCACGAATGCACTAACGGACGCACAAAACCGAACGAGTTTTTGGTGAGACAGTGTGTATGTATCTAGTATCAAAAAACTGACGGGAAAAACGACACAACGGTATCACGAGTGGTCACGACGAGGACAAGCCGGAGACACACGACGAACGTGACACATGAAAAGGTGGCACGAAATCGGTGCACTTGGCACCCGGCTGTTGCGTGGAAGGACGTGTGGACGACTCGGCACTGAGGTGCGCGAAGCCTTTTAATGTCCACTCACCCCTTGGGCTCATCGCCGCAGCCGCCGCGGCGACCCCCGCCATCGCGGCTGGTACGGTCGAACGGGAGGGTGAACCGGCAAATCCCGGCGGCGGCCAATGGCCGTCGTCTTCGTTACCTCTCACCCCCTTCCGTGAACACAAACAGAGACACAAAACCCACAGCCAAGAAGAGCAAAAACAGCTAGCTACAAACACAAGCGCGCACCGCTCGAGGGAGTCAGCGCGGCGTTCTTCTTTCCTACGTCATTTCTTCCGTGGGTGCGCAGTAGTCGGCCGACGTCATCGTCACAGTGGGAGACTTACTTGACTACTACTAGGAACCAGAGCAGCAGTAGCAGAAGAATTCTTTAAGCCGAGCAGGGAACGCGGCGGAACTGTGGCAAGCCTCACATAGCATAATGTAACGGGGCGACAACAGCGACGGCTCTGTTAGCGGCTTCAGGAGCACCAGCAATAGGGCTAGGACATCACACAGATGTGGGGTGAAAGGTGAAATAAGGAAGACTGGCGAAGTGGAAAACGAAAGGAAGCAGCGAATGGCGCAGCGGTAGCACTAAGACATTAACCAGTTGCTGTTGCAGGAGTACTTCGGTTTCTTTGGCGTAATAGGGTTTCGAGCGGTGGATACAGTTTGCAGTTGACTCTGCTTGCTAAGGTACCTTGATATTCCTCACTCCCCAGAATACCCTTAACATTTTTTGTGCTCATAGTGGTAATGTAGTCCATCCAAGCTCAATGAAGTGCCCGCTTCGAAGGCACTGTCTATGTAGGTGCATACGTCCAAAGAAAGCAGCAGGTGTTTGTTGACCAAAGGAGAGATCTGGCAAGGACTAAAAGGGAATCAAATTCAAACGAAAAAAAAATTATAAGAAAGTAAAAGTACGACAAAAAACAGAACGAAGAATCTGTTGTCCGATAGAGACTCAAAACAGGCCACCGCGAAAGCCAGTTTCTAAGAGGGATAACAGTACGTAGCAATACACAGTTAGATGTGCCGGTAATCTCTTTGTTGGGAACAGTTGGAGACTTGTGGAAATAACGCCGGTTCTTGTTGATGACAAGTTTATTGAACACAGACACAGAAAAAATTTCTTTCTTCTACTCATATCGTGCATTTTCCCCGTTTGGTATTAGAGAAAACGGTATTGTTAAATCTGTTCTCACAAAGGCTCTTTTAATTTATGCAAAACTGTTTATAATTCAACCTTATTAGACTTTCCTGGAGCAATGTGCTTTTTGACCGCATCATCAGCATTATTTAAAAGTACAAATAGGTTTTGCAACCCCCAGATTCAGTTTGTTCGCTGCCGTTAGTGAGCGTCGCAAATAAATCTAATTATTATATATATAAGCAGATATTCGCTGAGGTGCTGTCTTGATCAATCGGTTGGACAATGCATTTGCGTCAGTGTCGAGCTGAGGTAACCCTCCTGGTTACCTTGCAGCCCTTCGGCGAACCATAGTGCCTACATCTGAAATAAAGCGTTATTACGTAATTTGTGATGGAAGTGCGTTTAGGCGGATAAAGAGAAACATAACAGACAAAAATAAATAATGAGATGGACGATAAGGTTCGCAAACTTCACAATACTCTTACTCTAATGAACATCCCTAAGGCAAACATAAATCTTCAATTTCAGAGCATTCTTTAGCACTTCGTAAAACGATAAACATGCGCTGTTTGTTAACAAACAAACAACATGTTTGGATGAACGAGGCATTGCGTTGTAATTGCCGGCTGAGAAATAACGATTAACTAGCTCCTGATATGAGCGTATTACATGGGTGAAATCGTTCGGTTTTAGAAGTGCATGTTCGGGACTTTGTCTTTAAGCTTTAAGAGCAAAAAAGGACAAAACGAGTATATAGTCATTCTGTGTTTATCTATAACGCTTAAGAAGACGATCGATTCTAACATATCATGCATTTTACTGAGAACGGGAATGAGGCTGCAACGTTGCTCTTGAAGAATAACAGGAAAAAACAACATTGATCTAGGTGTACCTGACCCACAAGAAAAGTGTACAAAAAGTGGCTGTAGGACGCACCTGTTTCAGTTCAGGTAAGGTGATTATACTCACCGATTGTTTCACATGATTGATCCTTGATAATGTTACCGAACTTGTTCGGTTCTTTGAGAGGTATACAGGTTTACCAATTATAAAGTATTGCTCATTGAAGCGGTGGAACTCGTTTTACGTAGACAACTTGTGCCAAAAGCGAGAGCGTGTCGCTCTTTATGCTAATCGAACGTTACTGGATATTGAAGAACTCGAACGTTTATTTAATCGCTGAAAGTTTCGGCGGTGGATCGTATTCGGTCTCCTATGAGCCTAATATGATGTCTACCGCTAGTTACCGCAGCGCATATTCTCAAAGCTTGTTCTGTTATAT